ACCAGCGCAGCTGGTCCACGCGGTCTCGGCCGTGGGCCATGATACTCTGATATTGGATACCGATTCGTGTGATTCCTATAAACATTTCACCTAACTACGAACTAGTTGGAAGAATTATAGCTGCATGGATGCCTGTATATGATTTTAACAAACACTGAAAATCTGACGCAAAAACTGGCAGATATTTTGCTCTTCTCTGTTGGAACAACGCAAGCGGGAGGTCAATGACCTGCGCCCCGCGAGTACTGTAAACAACGGTACGTAATGTGTATCGTCACGCGCGCGCCACGGTATCAACAATTTTCCACAATCTTCACCGACTAGTATTATATATTCTGTTATCGATTTCTGAAGAATCACCAAAATTGTAGAGTGTATCTCCTAGAAAGTCCCTTACTAGTACTTGAAGCGATCGTTACCGCCATGTTGTTCACTTTATATGACATACAATGCAGAGAGTAATGGAAACGTGTCCAGATAGCTCGGTTGGTAACGCGCAGGGCTGCAAGTCCAGACATTACGAGTTCGAACCCCGGTACACTGGATATTTTTAATTATCCTTTTTACAATTTTTAACAATTTTAACATTTTTAACAATTTCAACAATTTTAACCATTTTAACCATTTTACATTTTAACAATTTCAACATTTAATTTTAACATTTTCGTTTTAATATCCATTGCTTTGCTTTTAACATTCCAAAACTGATTGTTCTTACTCAAGAATTTCAATAACTTCGAATGTTAGTCTTTTGTATTTTTTCAACATACAAACCAAAATCACTTTGATGTTGTCACAAAAGTAACATCTGTGCGCGCATCGGTTTTCGTTCATTTAAAAACTACAAGTACAAAACATCTGGAAACTAAGCAAACATACTCAGTAAATTGATTGCTGTAATTCCCGATTTTTTTTCACTGTACCGCAACGCAAGCGGGGGGTCAATGTTCACGGTTTTCACTGTCACCTCTGTATTGTGAACTTATCATTACAGTTAGGAAATAATTCCCGGACTTTCTTTTTCCTGCAACTGTCACCACCGTGAATATATACTTCCGTGAACATGTCCATTTTTCTCAGGCCGTGAAAATTTTGCTTCCGTTAGTAGTAGTTACAATCTCGTCAAAAGTGTAAAGTAAAGCTGTCGAGATTTAAAGTGCGTGTCGTTGTATCTTTGTAAAAAAAAGGGAGATAATTGCCAAGTGCCAGTTTTGTAAATACCTGTCGAGATTCAAACAGCTTGTCCTTGTATAATTGCAGTATGATTTATTTAGAATCTCTCATTTTTGTTTGGGGAAGGGTATGGAGTGAAATTTCTACATTTGCTCCGAAGCAAATGTTGGCCTTTCTAGTTTATTCTTAAATCTTCTATATGATTGACTACTCAGAAGTTAGGTGTTTTGATTCATAGATGAAGGTTAGACATCTAGGTATAAGACATGCAGTCACTGACAAAAAGTAGTGGAGGCTACTTGAAATGTCTGACAGTTTTCAAAATCTATCTACCTATACCTATTACTGTTTTCTTGAGGATTTTTAATTGTTTTGTCACTCTTTTGTAGTTGTTTTGTCACTCTTTTGTAATTTTTTTGTCACTCTTTTGTAATTGTTTTGTCACTCTTTTATAATTGCTTTGTCACTCTTTTCTAATTGTTTTGTCACTCTTTTCTACCTGTAATTGTTTTGCCACTCTTCTCTTATTTTGTCACTCTTTTCTAATTGTTTTATCACTCTTTTTCAATTGTTTTGTCACTCTTTTGTAATTGTTTTGTCACTCTTTTGTAATTGTTTCGTCACTCTTTTTCAATTGTTTTGTCACTTTTTTGTAATTGCTTTGTCACTTCTTTTCTAATTGTTTTGTCTCTCTTTTTCAATTGTTTTCTCCTTCTGAGTAAGTTGTGATGTTTTTTTCTGTGTTGCAGCGGATGGGCGGTGGTCTGAGTGGGGAGAGTGGGGACAGTGCAGTGTGTCGTGTGGTGGTGGCATCACCAACCGTACCCGAGCCTGTGATAACCCTGTACCCAGCTGGGGAGGCAGGGACTGTGAGGGAAATGACACAGAGATACAGAGCTGTGGTCTGGATCCTTGCCCTGGTATGAACCAACAATATGAATTTGTGTGTAGTGGTTCAGAATGATGTGCATAACAAAGAAATTTGCAAGAAAGTTAACACAAAGAATACAGAATTTTAAAAAAATACACTGACAAAGCAATCACATTGCAAGAAAGAAAGGAATTTGTGCAATAAAATGCCCTTTCATGGTTTCTCACTGAGAAATTGATGTACTAGATGATTATCCTAATGTTTATACATGTAAGTTTTAAACAGCTGTTTTTGATGACAAAATTCAATGCATAATTATCCAACATGTAATAATTCTCTTTGAAATCCTAAGCCATAATGATAGGTACTGTTTGTTCTAAGGTTGTCACAGCTTAATTTTTGTCTCAACCCTACAGGTGAGGTGTACTGGTCCACCTGGTCAGACTTCTCCACCTGCGCTGCCACCTGCGGCAATACCACCCACAGCCGCACGAGGGCGTGCATGAACGGTACCACTGTGGTGGCAGAGTCTGTCTGTAACGGGACTGCTGCTGACACAGTCGACTGGGAGAGGTGCACCAACAACCCATGCCCAGGTGAAAACATATTTTTAATCATTAAAAAAATTTCGTATTTCAATATTGTAAAAGTTTCATCATTGGCATCATGTTTTTCCCAACACTTTTGTTTGGTATGTTTTGTATATATTGAAGACAGTTTAAGACACAAAAATGTTTTTGTTCTGGTGAGCATGCCTTACATATTTTATCATTGCAAAAAGTTGCAGAAATCTTAATTCATTGGGAGAATATGATCCATGTTTTTGACTATCTTTGTAGATTGTTTCAAAAAGTTACAAGTCATGAGACAAAATGGAAATTTACATGTCATTGATATACATTGTATGGTCATGTTTCTAAAATAAAAATACCAAGATCTGGATTGATTAATGTACAATACTGCTATTTGCCTATTAATTTACAATACTGTGTTATTTGCCTTGGCAGATTTTTGCATAGGTTGATGAAATTTGTCCCATGACACTACCATTTTAAGTCATTGACAAATGTTCCTCATGATAACCACAGTTTCTGGAAACTGGGGCGCGTGGATGGAGTGGTCCCGTTGTACCCAGCGCTGTGGCGGGGGCACCAGGCAGCGGACTCGCGTCTGCAACAACCCCGCGCCTGAGTACGCAGGACGGCGCTGTGAGGGAGACAGCGACGGCAGAGGCATCCAGACCATGACTGGACCATGTAACGAACGCCTCTGCTACGGCATGCCAAGTAAGAAAACTGCTGAAAAGGATACTATAATTCACTTCATGTTCACAATAGCAAAAGTTCACGGTCTGAGAAAAATGGACATGTTCACGGAACAATATATTCACAATGGCGACAGGTGCAGAAAAAAGAAAGTCCAGGAATTATTTGTTAACTGTAATGATAAGTTCATGGTACAGATGAAGTGACAGTGAAAACAGTGAACATAACAGTACATGGAATTACAGTATGTGCACAAAAATACAATATCAAAAGATGTCTTTTTGTTGGCTTGTAATTTAATACCATAATACCTTATGAGAACTATAAAAGATAATTGTATGACATGCACATAAATTATTCATATGCCTGTCATACAATCTTTTATAGTTGTCATATAAGGCATTGTAAGACTTCAAGCTCAGGAAAGGCTCTTGAAGTGTAACTGTCATCTTTAAGTAACAACATTTTTATTTCTTTACCATTCAAACTACCACATACACCATGTTTAAGAATTCATCCATAGCCTTTTAGAAAATTAATGATATTTCTGATCATGAACATCTAATGAAATGTGTGAAAAATGTGTAGTCATGGGTACATGTATAAGTACTAGAAACTTTCCGAAACTGGACCATGATAGTTGAAGTTCCCTCTCTCTGTTGTCTATCACTCCCCAGAATGCGGCACCACGCGTGGCCGCTGTGGCGTGGTGTGGAAGGAAGTGAGAGCGGAGGAAATACAGCGTATTCCCTGTGCAGAGCAAGATGGTGGTCAGTTCATGCACTGTCTTATGTTTTACAAGCATATCACAGTTACACAAGAGTCATCATTATAAAAGTTATACTGTAAATGAGTCTTTCAGCACAGTGGATACAAGTTATTGGTTGGAATTAGATAAATATATTATGTCAATTCTTTTGGCTTATTGTAGCTGTTCTTGGTTGATTGGGATTGTAAGATCATATCACCTGTTTCAGTGTTTGCTACCCGGAAGTGTGGCAGGTATGGCCACTGGGAGGAGGAGGATTTCACCAGGTGTACCTCCTCAGCCATGGAGAAGATCTATGCCAAGGTGACAAGGCTATTTTAGCATTTTCTTGTCTATTAGACTTTCCTGTATATGTCGGGCTGCTTGTCCAAGCTAAGCTGAGCCCAGTCTGTTTTTTTTTGGTGCATCTCTGACTTTCATGATATTCTGTAATTCCTAGACATGAAACCCAACATCCCGGGCATCATGGTCTGTATGTTTACTGTGTATCAGTGGCCTTTATATGGCTAAGAAGCTTCACACCCTGTTATCTCAGAGCTATACATTGTACATACATGTACTACTAGTATGTTGTGCTGAATGTTGTCCATTAGCTAGTAGTATACCGGACCCACAAGAGCAAATGAGTCAGGGTTGTCATTGAGAGAAAAATAGATGAACATCATCATTGACAAGTTTTTTTGCTTGTGAAAGTGATTTTATGCTTATACCTTCTAGGACCATCGCAGCCTCTTGGTTCTTAGCTTGGAATATTCGGACTGACTATACAGGTCAAAACAAGATATAGTAACTGTTCTGTTCATCTGGTCCAGCATAAAATCAGTATACATGAAAGAAACTTGCTTTGATATGCAATAACAACTCTCCCATCTTTGCTCCTAGCTAAGTCAGGTTGATGGCAGAATGATGGCAGTGACTGACATAGATCAGGAGCTGAAGCGTCTGCTGGCAGATCCAGGCTGCCTGTACGCAGGAGACCTGCTGAAGGCCAAGCGAGCCCTGACCAGTCTCATCCGGATGAAACCGCTCCTGTATGCGGACGGCAGCAGAGCAAGGCGTGAACAGTACATTGATGTATGTACTCTTTAAAGAAATAGTCTCAATGCAAAATATTTTTGATTAGTGATAATTCAGACAGAATATACCTTTTTTGCTAGTATAATGCTAAACATTATTCCAACACAAGCTGTACACAAGGACCAAATTTTCAACAACCACTGTTGCCTTCATCAGGATAACTAATGACACTTTGTATTGGAATAAAGCTCAGCATCATGCTATGATTACTTCCAACACAGATGAATATATTAACACCTGTTTTGATATCGAATTTCTCCTTTATTGAGTCAAATGAATATGGAGTATTGTTTGTCAAGTTCATAGCCAGGGAAGTTTCAAAGACTGTGAAATAATTTTCTGGCATAATTTGTAATTATAAAACTTGTGTTGTTTCAGGACATGCTTGAAATTGCCAGCCTGCTGTATGGTAGGCCCTACTTTGACCAATGGGCTGATATTCAAGGGGTAAGATTGATGTAACAGCACTACAGTTACAGACTATTACAGTACTTCATGCAAAGTTGCATGCAACCATGGTTATTCTACACTGTGTAACTGTTTTTCTCTGTACAGTACACCTGTCCAGCTTTTTACCATTTAAATTGAGATCTTGGCCATTTTTCCCCCCAGACTGTAGGCATCCAGGAGGTGACCAATATCACAGACATTCTGGAGGAGCTGTGTGACACAGTACTGGAGTACATGAAGAACACCAGGGAAGAGCTCGTCTTGGCCAGGTCCTCAAACATAGGTATGTAACATCATCATGTACTCAATTAAAATATGTATGATGCACACAATAGTCACTTGAATGCAGTATTGGTACATGCTGCTTAAATTGCATTGATAAAGTGTAGTGTCCAGTGCAAAATGCTTGAATGACTAAATACATAAGACCCTTTTTCAGATGCTATACACACAAATGTATTAACATGAAACATAATTTTATGATCAACAAAATAAGACCACATTCAGAACCTTGCACTTATGGCAGTCCTAATTGTAAAATATAATGAGATTTTGAAGTCTGCATATCAAACTCGCTATATAGTAGCCAAAGTACTTTTACAAGGATTTTCTGAAGTAACATTCATAATGCCATTTCAGACATGGAGCTTGAGATGTACAAGACATACCGCCGAGAACCCTTCAGTTTTCCCCAGCACACTGAGGACACCCGTGTCATCCTCCCCAAGTCTCTGGTGGCTAGTGCCATCCCTGGTAGGCAGATACACTGTCTCTCTATCCTACAGTACTGCGTAGAGTGGTGGAAGCATTCTTAACTACATACACCATCCTATATGGCCTCCTTTAGTCAGTTTTTGACAATGATAAAATCCTATTGACATCGAGCTACTGCTATGGCTGAACATTCATAGTGAGAATGACAGTCTCTGTTAAGCTAAGGTCCCAATTACGCCGGTGCCCGTCGGGGATGTAGCCCCGGCTGGCCCCGGCCAGGTTCAAGAGTCGAGCGGGCATCGTCTGTCGTGGTCACAATTAAAAGTTTCCTTCAGTAGCATTTTGTTAGAAATTTTGTCACCCTCTTTGGTCGGTATCCGGCAGGCACCCGGCAGGTACCCAGCAGATTCTCTGACGATGTCTTGTATTGACCTATACGTAATGCAGAATTCACGTATTTGTTGTGATCATTTGATCTGTGAGGTCACACATTTTACCCGGGTTTACGAAGTACACACCTTTATTCTGTTCATCTGGTCTGTGACGTAAGAAATGTGTCCCGGTGGAATGCCGGCAACCGGAGGGGTACCTCCCGGTGTTCTCACGATGAGGTCACGGCGTCTTGTTGTTAGCGGGGCCCGGGTAGAATTTAACTCAGAATTAAATTCTTATCGGGGCCCCGACGGGCCAAAAAATATCCCGGTAGCCGCAGGGTGCCCCGCGGGCCACGTCGGGGTCCCGCCCGAAAGTGGTAAAAAACAGCCCGGGAACTACCCGCCAGGGCCCCTTTTCCCAATTGGGACCTTAGCTTTACACAGGGCACATCTGTAAGCAGATTCAGGTCTATTACAAAGTTTTCTTCTTTTGATCCACTTTTCCTCTATACAGTGCCTGATTTCTAGCTTCTCTAACTACCATGTAACATTGTATACACGTACACCCTGTGTAGTATCCATGCATTGCTGTCAGGTTGTAAATGTTAAGTAAAACCTTGTACAGTAATAAAAGTTGTTCCCCACCCAGGTCGACAGGAGGTGCCAGTCTGTGCCTTTGACCATCGCTCCTTACATCACCTGCTGGACCACCTGGCAGAGCGGAATAACAAACACATGTGAGGACACCTAGCCTTTATTTAAGGAACTGCAGAGCAATTTAGATTTAGGATTTTAGTCGAATCAAGGACGGTATAAATTTGTCCTTGGTCGAATCATACTAATGACCCAAAACACAATTCGTTACTGTGATCTCACTCACACTCACTCACTATCTGTTCAAGTTAAATAGAATTTTGGGTGCCTGCTATGTTATGTGGAAAAATATCATTGACACTTATCATTATGATCAAGATTTTTCCTTATCCATAAGAATCAATCATGTACAATGTAAAATCAATGTCACAGCTTCATCACTAGGGAATGTTTATGAAGACAGTTTTCATACTGTAACAGTTTTCTCAATGAGTTACCCCAAAACTATTCAAACAACGTTCTACTTACACCCCGTTCACAGTGAAACTTGTCGATCCGGATCGGCCGCCGATCGGGATCAAAATTATGCAAATGAAGTCAATCCGGATCGGTTTTCGCAGTGTGAACGCTCCAATCGGGATTGATTTTCTCCGATCCCGATCCAAAAGTAATCCACCTCGGGGAGGTAGTTCAAGACACTTGCGGCGGATCGGGATCGGGCGTAAACTTGAGTGTGAACGCAAAGTGGATTGGGTTCGGGGTTCGCTAGTGTGAGACTGACCACAAATACTACCACTACCGATCGGGTCTTATAATATGCAGTGACAATGACGTTGTGTAATGCTATGGATACATTGCCAATCAAAATTATGAATAGAAAATATGCAGAAAGATGTTTACAACAACCTCCCTGCCCCAACGTTACACTCAAGTGGAATGGCGAGCCAGTGGAATCGAGTGTTACAGCCCGAAAATTAAAATATCGGCCTTCACGCAACAGGAGCTAAACCCTGACCACCCAAACATGTTCAAAGAGGTGTTCTCTTTATTACCGCTAAGATTCCAGGCTGTACAAACTTTCTGAGTTCTTTTCTTGCAAAATTTACGGCGGAGTTACAGCGGCTATGGCATGTTCAAGATGGCGGGCTCGTGACACCTCAATCCATTTCTGAGCGTGATGCCCTGGCAATCCGGATCAGCAAAAAGCAGTGTGAACGCGCGGGTCGATCGGGATTAATGAATTTCTGATCGGGATCGGCAGTCAATCCAGATCCATTTTTTCACTGTGAACAGGGTCTTAGTAATGATACAATAGACAGTTTCTCAGAGGGTTTCTCAGACCCAGAACTATTCAAACAAGGTTCTGCTTTGAGCAACCTAATTTTTACCACACAGGACTACTCGGTACCATCATGAGAGGGAGCTCAACAGCAAGGTTGTGACAGCCACCATCCTGCCTGCCCCGCCCCCGCCACTGGCCACCAAAGTGGAGATCCACTTCAGACACAGATGGGTGAGGATACAGTAGTTCTTTTTACACAACCAAGATAATTACCTTTCTGACGTTTTGGTGTGTATTAGATGAGGGGGGGGGGTACAAGCTCAGCCATATTTGGATTTGCATTCTCACTGCAAAAGCGCCACCAACATCAGCTACATATACCGGCGAGAAGCAGAACTCCAGTCAGAAGCTCTGAGGAAGGTGTCTGATAGGTAGCAACGTCAGCAAGGTAATTATCTTGGTTGTGTAAATAGAACTACCGTATCCTATACTTTACCAACCTGATGAAACTATTTTTGGAAGGACAGATGGGTGAGTTTATATAATAATGTAGGGTCGGTGGTCAAGAGCATTCAAATGGATTAAAAGGGATTACGTGGATCTAGTGGGGATGGTTGGTTTTTCTTAATAGGTAGAAGGGTACTTTGCTGGATTAGAAAAACTTTCATTTGTAAACTGTATATATAGAGCGTTAAGTTGACCTATGCTGTTTTCATTCACAGAGGGGGCAGGACCCACTGTGTGTTTTTATAGATGAAGATGACCCATACAGGTAAGCACAAAAATTGCTCTTTTATCAACTGAAGTTGACAAAAAGAAAATGAGCCATTTCATCATTATGACAGCTTACATGAGAAACCTCTTGCATATAGAAACTTTTTTGTCACAGCCCATTGTAATTTCTCTTTTTGTTTACACAGAACTGTACCCTATTACAGATTATTTCCTTTTTGTTTACACAGAACTGTATATATCACAGATTATTTTCTTTTCTTTTACACAGAACTGTATATATTACTCAAAAGAAAACAAACCATTTCCATTAATTAATTTTGACAGCTTACATGAGAAACATCTTTCATATAGCAACTTGTTTCTCACAGCTCATTGAAATTGGCTCTTTGTGTATACAAAACTGTTACAGTATATGTTACGATTGCAAACATGTTTTATTTTGAATCCTTAGCATCTACAACCCGTCTGGCTGCAGTGTTGCAGAGACTGATGACTACTCCACTGTGTGCAAGTGTAACCACTTCAGCAGCTATGCACTGCTCTCCAAGCACTATGTGGAGGTGACTGCTTTATCTGTGTGAATGGTTCAGCCTCTCAATCCAACAAAAAAGTCACACTTTTGAAAACAGTTCACCAATTACCATGACCAAGTAATGATGATCCAGGAGGGAAATCAAAATATTGATAAAGTTTAAAGAAATAAGAATTCTTTTTCTTTATATCTCATAGTAACCTTTAATTGAATGATGCTGTTATTGTAGATGTATGGAATTAAACTTGTGTGCATAGGTTTTGATGATGTCACTGACTTCATAAACCCTTCGGCTAGTTGGATGAAAAAGTACCACATTCCACATTAAAAGTAATCATCAATTGAGTTGTAAGAAGATATTTATACCTGTTTGTGTTTTAGACTTTTTGTAAGGGCCTGTTTATATGTTAGGTTCCACCGTTCCAGGTTGTACATCATGAAGCCAATATAAAATCTGTTTTTTTTAATTCAATTTTTGTAGCCTATTATAAGCAAGGCTCATGCGAACCACTTACATGTTTTGGGTTACATTACGGAACTGAAAACTTCAGACAGATGCTTGATTACTTTGGACTCAGACAATATTCTGTTTTGACTGTATGCGTTGTGTTGTGTTATGTACAGACTGTGATTAATGAGGCTTGGATCAGCTCCCTGCCTCTGGCTGGCTCCATCATCTGTCTCATCAGCACCTGTCTCGCCTTCATGTCTCACCTCTTCCTCAGGTCAGAGGATTTATAAAGACTATTAAAACTCCCTCGAAGTTTCTATTTTTGAGGGAAGAAGCAAAGCTGATAATATCAATAACTTTTAAACTAAGGTAAAATTATAATAGGATTAAAGCCAAATGGAGTTATGTCGATGAAGATTAGACATCCAGGTAATGAGATACAAAAGGGAATTGTTACTCAAGCAACTGGATAGGTTTTGAAAACCATGCTTGAGTAACAATTTCTTAGGGTACATTGAGAGTTAGGGCCTGTACATGTAGACTGACATTGAACACCTATCCCAGAAATTATTATAATGACAGTTAATCAATCCATTCACTGCATGGATGTAATATATTGTAGTACATTAATGCAATACTAGATGCTTTCCAAGTAGCTTTTTTGAACAAATCTTAAATGTATTTTGCAATCTACTGTAAATTCGCCTCATGTTTGAAAAAAAACACAAGCGTAAGGTACCACAAAAAAATTGGGAATTACAGTATTTGTCAATGAAAACAGTCACTGAAATCTTCACTCTACACTCTGGATGAAACATTGCCGTCTGTTGTACAGGACATATCTGTCCAACCGCTTTGGGAATTACAAATTATATTTTTAATGGTAACTAACGGTTACTGGTCCATATGTACAATACACTTGCCATCTGTTGTACAGGACATTTCTGTCCAACCGCTTTGGGAATTACAGTATTTTTAATGGTAACTAACGGTTACTGGTCCATTTGTACAATACACTTGCTGTATGTTGTACAGGACATATCTGTCCAACCACTTTGGGAATTACAATATTTTTAATGGTAACGGTTACTGGTCAATATTATGTACAATACACTTGTCATCTGTTGTACAGGACATACCTGTCCAACCGCTTTGGGAATTACAGTATTTTTAATGGTAACGGTTACTGGTCCATATGTACAATACACTTGCTGTATGTCGTACAGGACATACCTGTCCAACCGCTGCCTGGTGGCTGAGAAGTTCCTGGTGATCCTGCTGATGGCCAGCGCCATCTTTGTCAGCGGAGTCAACGGAACCTTCCTGCCGGGCAGCCACAAGATCTTCATCTTCATGGTAAGGCAGCACGGACATGGTTCTACAGAAGGTGTAAATGGGAACACATTTTGCCGCAAAAAGGAGGTGTAAATGGGAACACATTTTGCCGCAAAAATGTACTTTCCAGGGGACCAACTCCCTCAGCATGAAATCTCTCTATTTGGCTATAATTTCTACTCTTTCCAGCCACCTCCCAAAGCCTGGTAGAGGCTAGATCTTCTCTCAGAGCAGTATTATTGGGTATTAGATCTCAGGATTAATACTAATAATAGTTTCGGTATTAAGACAAATCCAGTTAGCGGCTCTGAAAACATACCTATAATCATGGTTATGGTCCAAAAGATCACTCTATTTTGTACTCTGATGACAACTGATGCCTTACTGTTTCAAGGACATTTTAGGATTAAATATGTAATAGGGAGTCTTATCCCTGCTGTAAGGTTTGCTTTTTGGTGTCACGATTAAAGAATAAACGTTGTAATATAATGGACACTAATCTGCAAAATAAACTTGCAGATTGTGACCTTGAGTGACTGTTTTTGTCTCTGTTTCAGGACACATGCCAGTTCAAGGCGGTTGTTCTGCATTACCTGTTCCTGGCCACCTTCTCCTGGCTGATGGTGGGTGCTGTCCAGCTGTACATGGACTGCATCAAGGCCGCGCCCTGGTGGCTGCTGTACCACGTGATTGGCTGGATCATCCCACTCTTCATCCAGGCCATCACCATCCCGTGGAAGTCAGACGTGTTCCTGGCTTCCAACTAGTACGTCATTTGTTTATTTAAATTTTTAATAGGTACAATGGGGGAGGGGCAAGGGAGACAAAACAATTACTAAAGATATAGGCAAGTGTATTGTTTGTAATGTGTGAAGCACAGCATCAGCTGAATTTGCTGCCTAGTGCTCCACATTGTGTATTGCCACAGTGTGTATTGCCGTTGCAAGTTGAATAAATAAAGAGGGAAAGCAGAGACAAAACAGTTAAATCTTTTTACATTTTACTGAAGTTTTTTTGTTGCTCATTATTCAGTTATGATGCTGATAAACATATGCCTTTCAAATTACTGTAAAAACACTGTCTTTAAGTTAGTTGAAAACTGAACACTATTAACTTAAAGGTTCCTTTAAGTTATTATTATATATTAAGTCTTTCCCTACAGGTGATGAATATCTGTATTGTCTGTATAGCCACTACTATTACTTCCCATTCCTAAAAAACAGCTGAATATTTCAAGCATCTTGAAACAATATAAACTGTTGTACATGTAGGTCAGTAGCTTATTGTATGTTACAGTTAGTTTTATTATTGTAGTAGTTTGTGCTAATGTCTAACTCCTTTATTTGACAGTTGTTGGGTGTCCTGGGAGCAGGGGCTACACTGGTCCCTGTTTATCCCTGAGATTGTCCTCTGCCTGGTAGGTGTATTGTACTTGTGGTTACTTGTTTTAAAAAACTATATCAACTCTCACTAAGCATTAGCAGCCAGACTGCCAAGACAGAACACTGTCAAAGTATTTTGTATTGTGATTGATTCTGTTCTTATTATGTATTGTGTAGCATTTAAATGACCTTTTGCAGAAATTAAAGGAAAAAAGTAGGACAAGGAAATATTTACTTCGTAATACCAAATTTAGTTGGCATACTTATTGGGTATTGTGCAGCAGACTGATAAAGTGATATATTTCTTTATAATACATTCACATACTTTTGTGACATCTTTCCTCTTCTATATGTACTGTCAGGTTTTTTATGCTAACTTACGATTTCAACCATTAAAATTTAAGACTGTATTTCCTCTAGGTCTGAAATGCCAAATACTATGAACATAAACAATATTTTGTTCCCACCACAGATCACAGTGGTGATCATCAGTCTGTCTGTGTATGTGGAGGACCAACAGGCCCTGCTGGAGCCAGAGAAGTACACAGAGAGGATGCAGTAAGTACAATGTACACCACCACAGGGATACCAAGATAACAGTTATAGAAGAATCAAAAAGATCATAAAGGACCCTTTTGCTTGGCACATCTTCCCTTGGTCACCCGTTGAATATGATATAAGACTGTTTCTACTAAGATCACAAAACCCACTCATTGTACAGAACGTGGGTCAATTCATTATCCACTGCCTTCAAAGAAGATGTCAAATCTCATGATAGCAAGCTTAATAGTAGAAGTATAACTTTTTCCAGACAGTAGTTGTCTGTTTCCCATTATTGCATTGTACTATCTTTGACTCAGTCTGTAAAAGGGATTAGCCTTCAGGCATGATTTTGCAAATAAAGAATTAATATAAGAGATTACTTAATCAGACAGTGGTTACTACACATGCAACATGAATATGATTTGTTGCCCACTGTTGTTGTTGACTGTGATTGACAGCTGTCTTGTCTGGTTCCAGTACGTACATCTGGAGGAACATCCTGCAGCTGCCGCTCTTCGTGCTGTCCTGGACTCTGGGCCTGGTTGCCATGGAAACTGAGAACTATGCCACCCAAGTTTTCTTTGGCCTTTCTCTCATTTTCCTGGTTGGTAGCCTTAAATAGATATATGATTTGACAATGTATTTGGTAAGTTAGTTATGAAATTTCGTTCTTTGTAGAAAATAAAAGGATGTCTGGAATTATTTCATTCATAAAGGGTTTTGTAGATTTGCCTTTGTATATGTTAAGTATGTTATGATGAATTTTGTGGGACACTGTTTTCTATTCAATGATTATCATTGGATAATACTGGATAATACTGGCTTGGGTGTAGAAACTACTGGAGATATTGTGATGAATTAAGCATTTTATGATTTTGTTATATTATAATTTCAGGGCCTGTTTGTAGCAGTTGTTTACATCATCCAAAACAGAGAGGTATGTCTCTCAATTTATGTATAATTGCCTTTAAAGCACAGAAATACCAAGCTTTCATGTGCTACTGTAACAATTTTATCTCATTTGTACTAGATGATTGTGAAAAGGTACCAGGTTAGGAGGATAGACAAACCCAATAAGATTATGAAATATGCAAAAACCATCTGCACTTAATGAATGCAGTATTATGTCATCATCTTTTTCTTTACAGATCCGCTATGCTTACTATACTGTCATCCACCTGATGGTAAGACTCAGTGTAGTTTCTTCTCTTTTTATGTGACTCTAAAATTTCAAATTTCAAAAATGGGGGTGGATGAAAGATTAAACAATCAATATGATTATGTTTGTAAATATTGATGATATTTTGTAGAATTGTATGTTCCCTGAAACTGTAATTCAGCCTTCTTTACATTGTATTATTAGGCTGCAATGTTGTTTTAGTTTGGTGTCAATTTGAGAATAAACCATTTATATATTTTTCCTAATGTTATAATGATAATTACTCCTGTCTATTTTCTGACAGTATATGAAGTACCGTGGTGCACGCCAGGCTTACTTCCCCAAGGCCTACATCGATCCAAAGAACCCACCAGTCTACATCCCGTAGACATCTTAACTCATCTCAAGGAACAACCAAGGAGTTGAGGAGTTTCATGCTTTGTGGAGGGATTTACCAATGAAACAAAGCTTTATTTTATGTGTGAAAAAAGTTGATTTTACTTTCTTCTTTCTTTCTTTATTGGCAATGACAACAGGTCAAGACACAGGTTATCAAGGCAGTGTTAACTGGTATTAGATAACCCACATATAGAAACTTGGAGACAAACATGTAATAAGAAATCTACTATAAATACAAGACCTGAAATAAAGATAACATGTTAACTGGTTACAAGGTACAATACTATAATACATAATATAAGAAAAATCGAGACATTCCTAACTAGCAGCAATATGTGCAAAGAGTGTAGATACTAAATTGGGATGAATGGAAGGATTTGGGTAAAAGTTGAGTATGAGTGCAAGTTTAAAAGAAGAATCATGACAAAAGGTGGTTTCTGCAGTGAGCCTTGAATTGACTGAGAGTGGGATTTTAAGTTTTAAAATGTTTGAATCACCACTACAACAACATACTATATATTATACTTGAGATATCTTATTTCATTGTCTCAATTTTAATCTTTTGTAAATATTTTCATGCAATATGTTGGAGGGCAGTTGAAATTTCAACACATGTAAATTTTTTCAGCTAAATCATTAATTTTCTGATTAAAACATGAGCCACAATCATATTTTTCTGAAAGACGACTTCTAAGACCAAGACTTAGAAATTCAAAGAAATATCTATTTTCAAGTGATTATTTAAATGCAACTTGGCAGTTGATGAGAGCCCATCACCTATCAGACTATCATCTTGAGAAGAAACATATCACAGGTGATTATAGGATGGTCCTTAAGACGATTCAATGGCCTTGGCAAAAAATGCAACTATCAGGAGGTCCATACTCTAATCCAAACTGTTGTTCAGAATGATTATCTATTCAGTATATTTCAAATGCTTTTGAAAATCTATAAACCTGTATTATCAAAAGTTGCCCAATATATGTAAGATACTTTTTCTGTTTTATGGTGATATAATTGTAGTTGTTAATTCAATGTGAATCACATGTGTCATACTGTTTTTGGATATCATAATGTTTCTTGATATCGACATAGTAAAAAGCTTTAAGAGAAAGAATATTGTACAACAAAAATTATGTAGAGTGCCATAGTTTAATGCGTTATTTATTGCTGCTTATGACAAATTTATTGCAGCTACATCTTTGCAATTGAATAGCATAGAATGATATCTTTCATCAGTTCTCGCTTATCAATAAAATTTGCATGCAAAAAGGTGGTGCTGGATTGCACCGCAATTTCTCTTGTCAGAGCCTGTTTTGTTTTATAAAATGTCCATTTGAACATTTAGACGCGCACGCACACACATAAACGCACACACATAAACGCATACACACAGACGCATACATGTACAAGCCGTTTTAAGACAACCGGCATATGTTGCTTCTATTCAAATGACAAAACTAGTATCTTGGTTAACCGTTACTTATCTTATCGCCACAATATCACACAAGTTGACACAAGTGTATTTCAGAATAGATGCGAGCAACAGAAATACGGCAATCTCGTCCAGTTTTTCTATCTAGAACACGATGGACGTTGTTTCATACAACACGAAAAACAGCGTTTCTATATAGGCAGTGAAACAGTTAACATTATCAAATGAACATCAGCAAACTGAGTTTTCGGTCACATGATGTCACAGTATCACTTCCTTAATATTTTCCTCTTCCCCTTTGGCATTTGGGGTTCATATTACACACAAGGAAATGGTTTCTACTTAATAATACTATTTAGGTTTTCACAAAAATCACTTTTTTTTCAACCCTTTCTTAAAAAAAATCACTAGCGCATGACGGACAGTCAACTAGCCGTTGTTGTAAACGTACACATACTGTTTTTGGATATCATAATGTTTCTTGATATCGACATAGTATTGTTCGATACACCAGTTCTGAAGCCTAAAAACCCACCTTTGAACAGCACGTCAGAAAAACATTTTTATACAACTGTTACAGCAAAAGACCAGCTCGAGTCACGTGTAGTCCGTCTCTTGTTGACAAGTACATGTAGTCAACTGCTATAAATCTGATCAATCCATATAATGATAATGTTGTATACGGCAACAAAAATAAACTGTCCATGACACTTCCATGGCCGTAGCCAGGGGGTTCGGAAGAACCCCCCACAAGGCTCAAAGGTCCACTTTTTGACTGATTTGTATCACCAGTGGAGCTGTAATTCTAGAAAAACGGCTCACTTTGTCATTGAATATTAAAAGTTAACTCTGGTTTTTCCTTTGCAATCCTCTCGATGCGAAAACGCAGGAAATGGAATTTTAGAAGGTTCAATTTTCAAAATGTTCCAGGGGAGCATGTCCTAGGAAACTCGCCCCCCAAGCAAAATCCTGACTACGGGTCGTAGATTCTGAACATCTGGTCTCTCTCCCTCACATTCGGGTCATCTCTCTTGCACAGAACGGCGACGTTCTGTCGGATGGTGACGTAATAGCTCGTGTCCTGAGAGGACCGCAGACGATACATGTTGCCCCAGGCAGGCTCCAGGTTAAACAGGCAGGCTGGAGGCGGGGCCGCTCCGTCAACTTCATCCACGTCTCTAGTCTGTGAAATAAAAGGTTCTCAAGTTTCAGACGTGTATTTCTTTTTGACATATTTTTAACGAAACATACAACAAAAAGTTATTAGCTACTCTGGGGAGCTTTCGATGCATCTTATTGTTTGTACACTTTCATGAAATCAAATCACACATTTTTGTTCTTTTGAAAAAACAAACAGATAGAGCAACAGCGCACGTTTACTTTCTACTGACCATTACGAATCAGGTATTGAGTTTCGCATGTTATTTGGTAAAATCTTGTCGTTTTAGTGAAAATGTGTCTGAATTAATGTAAGGGTCTTCTTTCACCTGTGTGAAAAATTTGATTTTCTATGGCTTGGGTGGGTGTGAAAAGATGGCGGCGGTGGTGGTTGGTCGCACCGACACCACGCTCCTGGTAAGAAAAAGGTATAACAGTGTCCTATACACGGCGCTGGTGTGAGTATTTTGACCAGACTCGGGGCTACGTGTGTAGGTTTTGAGAGTGAATCCATGGTGCCAGAATTGCAGAGGATGTGGCTATTCAACGACGGCATTTGGTACAAGTCATGTAGAAAATACAACAAGAAGCCATAGGCGACAATTCTCCGTGAAGTATTATATATTGCAACAAAAAGAAGTAGCCATTGGCGACAATTCTCTGTGAAGTGTGATAAATCGAACAAAGAAAAAATTGTTTAAACGCGCGTCGGCTCAGTCATCTTAAGACGCAACAACCAATCAGAGATGCGAGATGCCTACACGTGACGCGGGAAGGGCGCGCGATGCCCGAAATATTTTTGCGTCAATATTCAGCGCCGTGATTCAAGAGATTAATACCCGGAAACAATTTTTTTCTTGTTTTGAACGCATTAACATGCATTTACGCTAATCTAGTATGATTCAGGGTTACTTTTTTTTTAACCTGCCATGGCCAGATTATCTAAAGATGTGTGTATTGTGTGTACAATCTATAGAAAGAGAAATGTACATCAGGTCCGATCATCCGATTTTCACGTTTCGGTTTTTTGGACTCGGTTCATGAACGTATTTTGGTTTGGCTCCTGGAATGTGCAAAAAAATGACTCCCGGGACTGTCTACAGGGAACACTCGCACATTCGCGGTGTATCAGGACAGCGCGACTGGTCGTCATTAGCGCAGTAACAGTTGCATAAACGGACGAAACCATTTCAAAGAAATGGGGATGTTTCGAAAATAAGCATTTACTCCAATATCAAAACAGCTACGGTAAAAATAAAAAGACGTGCATCATCCCGGACATAATGCAACACCACATGCGAAATTACACAGAAATGCGACGTACGGAAGAATGCGTTTTGGCTGCGAACATCTTCCAAAAAACTTGGCATCTCTTAACCATGGGCAAAAACATCTGGAACCACTTATAAAAACCACCCCGTATCTGCATGAACTTTTTTGAACCCCACTGCTATTCCAAACAACGCGTTTTTCTGGACCATTCCAATTCGCCTCGTAATTGTAGGGGTGCGTCTGCGATATTACATTGACCGCGAAAGCAGCAACGGCAAAAATACACATTCGTGCATCAACACGGGCATGCCCGCAGACGGCGTATAAAATTGCGTGCCGATTACACAAAGAGAACCCAGTGTTTTGACTGCGAACATGAAAAATCAGCCGATTACAACACTCCGTCCGGAGGTCCTGACCTCCTTCACGGAGTAACAATGCAGTCAATATTCCCCCCCCCTCCCCTCGAGAACACCTTCCGAGAATGCAGCCACTTCCAACCAGAAGTCTCAACGTTAACCCAGCTGCACTTCTCCACAGAGATGATTCAACCGCAGCGGGCTCCTTTGTACGAGCCCTCGCGGGTAAGTTTTTGCTGCTCATCTTTCATTTTCACTGTTTGAATCTCCTTTTCTTTCTGCTGGCGACGTAAACAAGGCTTTTGATCTCTACCATCACCTGATCCTATCATGCCCTTAAAACTCCCCTCCAAATCTAATGCGAGCGGGCGAAAAAAAAACAAGGCGGGCCGAAAAAAACAAGGTTCCTACATTTTAAAATTTTGACTCGAACATCGTACAAATGGTTTTGATTCAGTGGAAACATCACATATACACAGCCAACATCACATATCACTGCATCAAAGTAACAAACAAAACATTAAATCAGAGCCTTTTCTTATCTCCTCTCTACATAATTATCTGCCATCCACCTTTTGACATGGCAACAGACATCTTTGCCCATTTTCGGCATGTTGACCACTGTCAGAAGGCAACAAAATTTCTTGTTTTTTTTTTCTCCAAAATCAGGCGAAAACTAATGCGCGCGCTGATGTCATCCATAAAAATTACTTGCTGTGGCCTCACTCGGATACTAGTAGTTGCTCTCCACACTTCATGCTTACCAGTGTGAGGGGCAGATGCGGCTGATGAAAGTTTGCCGCGACTGCCGCACCGTTTCCAAACTCAAGCATCACCTCAACCTCCGTTTCTGTCGACCTGTAGGTGTGCAGGAGGACCGCAGCTGAAACGATATTTCAAGAATGCTGTTAAAATTGCAGCCGCGATCTTGAAGGTATTCCGCCATAGATCAAATTGATAAACCAGCTCCTACGACATGCTACATGCACCTGTTATTCACGACAGTTTGGCAGGTAATCACAGCCTGCTTACCGAACGTTTTTAGCTCCTTTCAAAAAGCCACTTCCCGTTTCTAGAAGGTAGTTACTGTTCCACCCTTTTGTACTTGTATTTTCTGTGCAGCGTATCCGCCACAGACTGTGACTGTTGTTTTAAAACTGCCGTCAGTTGAAAAAAATGGAGTCGCACGGAGGCTAACGCAATCAAGCACACATTAGATGTGAGCAATCTAACCCCGTCTTTCCAATGGTGGAATAAACGCATCGTAAAAGCGTGTAAACCAGTCCGTACCTACGTGAATTCAAGCCAAACGCACACACCGCGTTCGGCTCGGAACCAAGAGGTCCGAGTTGGAATCCAGCCATGCCACATAAGTTATACTCTTCGGAAAGGCAACTTACACGATTCAGTCCTCACTTTACTCAGCAGGTTGTGGGTTCATGCGTTTGTCGACTGGGTTGGTGTGCCGTCTCCGTGTCTTGTAATAAATGTTGGAATAGAAAAAAACACCCTACACATAGTTACTATAGTAGTAAATATAGTACATGGAGTTCCCCTTACCCGCCGTCCGTTTGGCGGTGACTTTGTCGCCCCGCTTCCCAGGTGACAGGTAGAATGTTCGTCCACGGCGCCGGTGGACCAGGTAACACCTCTTGGTGTTGTACGGGAGGAGGGACATCCTAACACACCTGCTGTGTCCTCGCGTCTGAGAAGAAGCAAATGAGGCTATGAGGAAAACCCCGAGTCCGTTTTATTATAAGCAGTGTTGTTTGTGTTCTACACGGTTCTGGGAAATCCCCTTTCAGAATTGTATACGGGTCCTACCATTTAACTTGATAGGGTAGGTGATTGAAAACTCACTCTTATAATACCTCTACCCTAGTTGTCTAGGCGACGGCAGCTCAAAATGATAAACATATATGTATATAGAGAGACAGGAAAGGGATGTTGCCAACATTAAACGTCATGGTGAACATATTTGGTGAACTCTCGATCCTCCTACATCGTTGCTTAATGGACTATTCCAAATATGTTTTACCATTATTTCACCACTTCCCTTCTAAGAACGGATATATGTCTTACAGGTCTAACAGGGAGGATATCTTCTCCTTTATCCACTTGTTCCTACAATTGATTTGTTTTTTGTAAAAAGACGCCGACAATTTATTTTCCGAGGTCATTGACTGGGGTCTTTGATCCCGAGGGGAAGTGCATAAAATTTACAACAAAGACTCAGGACTTCCCAATCCAGCAACAATGGTAGGATTTTGTAGATGCAAGACCTCGTCTTGTAAAGTAAAACCTTGTCACCTCTGTGCGCGGAAGTATTGCTTATGTGTGTCTGTCTGTATGTTTGTATTTCCACAGACTCAACAGAATCGTGTTTTTCATAATGGCGTGGAGTTCACCTGAGGCAGGTCTTTTAAATTTGTGCCGAACTTAACTGTGAGTTCTACGTTCATCGAGGTATTCTACACAAGTCGTTAGAATCAGAATAAAACCAACAAGTATATGGTGAGCCATGGTGACTGACAAGGAAATGTGTTAGACATTACAGTGATAAACCACGTATACACGTAAAGAAATAAATGTCCGACAATTGTTGGTACTTACCAGTTACAGAATATCAACCAATAGCTTTCTCGTGCCTTCTTCTACAGTGGCCTCCACTGTCGGCGATGGAAATGCAAAATTATTGTTGTTCAACGATTCAGTCCTCGTTTTTATACATCCTGTATACATGGCTGTGGCTCAAAAACAAAACAAGAAGTTCGGGGGATTTATTCACGGTTCCCCAAAAGCTTATAGCTGCAGGGTATGAAACTGATTCCTAGAATCCCCCAAACGGAGCAAACAGTACAAAATAGCTAATTTTATTTTGAAAACTCACGATACAGATATCATTTGAGATGTCACGAGCGAAGTATCATTTGAGATGTATTACAAATATACCACACGAAATATGGGTTAAAAACAGAGTAGGGTAGACGTGGAGGAGTGGGGGGGGGGGGCAAACGTATAAACGTATTATCAGCTTGAAGAGTGAATAGTTCTGTTGAATTTTTCAGCAGTTTGTTTCGAAACATACACACATTTTCATGTATTATTATTTAGAGAATATTGGCTTGTTTTCTGGCCCCTCCCCCTTTATAAAATGTTCATTTCTGGTACATACAATCGGGCGGTCCCCGTTGTTGTTACTTATTTTCCAAGATATTACGCTGTATGAAGAGAATTGTCAAAATCTAGCGTTTGGGTTTTCCAAATATGAATCATGTAGAATCTACATCAAAGTATCAAAATTAAAGCCGATACGAAAATACCGGAACACGAAAATGTCGTTACGATTTTTAGATACATTGTCACAGTAGAATTTGTAAACTAAAAGAAAGACGCGTAATCAGAAAGCAATAACGTTAACTGTTACGATGATGCCATGCACATTTGACCGGAAGTCAGAATTGCTAACACGGAGAGATTCGCGCCCCTGACATCGAAACTGTGCCATGGGGAACTTCCGGATCATATGTCACCGACAACTTCTGAAAACTGTGGCCATAAACGAGGAAAAAGAGGAACTGTCAAGTCATGATTCACTAAGCACTATTGTGAGACCTTTGAACTGTGAAAAGGGGAACTGTGATATGCTTTACTGAACACAATGGTTGTTACGTTGGAATGTTCTTTCTTTGAAAGCCTTAAGAAGTGATTGTAAATAATCGTAAATGGAGGAGTTTTTGTCTTTCAAGTAAGGTATTGTTCCGAGTCTGAGGTTTTTGAGTGTAATATGCATTGTTGTTAGCATGTTAGCAAGTTGCAGCGCTCCCATCTTTTTTAACTTCAGCATTTTTTTCCTCACAGGTATAACACTGATCTTTCTTAAATGTGTACGGTTTCGGCTATGTTACCGGTGATTTTTTTATTGAGACGCTAGACTATCCAGGTTCCCTTCCTGGTGGTTTCCTAAATCAAATATAATCAAGCATATTTGCAGAATGACACTGTACAAAAATAGGTTCCGCTCGAGTCTTGTTTGCACACCCTAGTTTCACTGACGTTTGCTTATATGTAATTTAGATCCTATAGATAAATTCAACTACATTCTCAGGGGAGATAACCAATACAGTGTTCAAATAGGAAAATACATTAAGGAATGTTTCGATCTTAGAGAACACATGTTAGAGAATAGTTAACCTTTATTGTTACATCATACATATACTCTGTACGTAAGATAACGTTATCCACACATGTATTTAGCTTTGTTAGATCTTTAGTTAAGTTGTAGAAGACCATTCAAAAGTCTCTGTACTTTTTTGTTGTGTCAATAAAGAATCATGTTATAAACATGCAGGGAATGTCTGTTCTCATTGTCTAAACAGAAAACATTACAACGTGGCAAGCTAAGCGTGACTGGGAAGAAACAATAGCTTTATTCTGGTCGAGTGCGTACTATTGATTTAAGTAAAAAGAACGAATACGGAATGACGAAATAGCACGCAATCAATACATTTTCAGCCAAATAACGCTTCTCATTCATTTATAACAATACACGTATTGGTAACCCTTCCATATGTGTCATTTGAGCAATTAATATTCGCTGGTAGTCACGAAGCTACTTCAAAGGGACGTGTGTGCGATATTCACATCACTATGGATTACAGGAAATCAATGCGCGAAATCATTGGTTCTCGTGAATAATTAAAACATCATGTAAAGACACAAAGCCAGCCTTAACCTTGCACAATACATATTGTGTCGTAATCTATCATGCTGTTAGATACAGTCGACTCACACACAGATGACTGTTACACGCCGGTGCGCCGGACAAGACAAGACAAGAACACGTTTCGGAAAGGACCTGACGAAACTGCCAAATATTTTGAGGTAAAGTCCACATGGTATTACATATCTAGGTAGAATGTTGCACACCGATGTATTGTTTGGTTGTTAGTTTGTACGTTTGATTCTACTTCTGATTCATTTTGCACATAATCAATACAAACATGGGGTCATCGCTGATAGCGAGCATTGTGTGATGCGACGTTTTGTTATAATCTTTTGCAAATATTCTCTATCGCAGATATGACTGTTGTCTCTAATATAGTTCAACCGTAATTGATAGAAGGACAGTCTTCAAACCAACTGGCATTCCTCTATCGGGCAGTATTTCACAGTATAACCGGTAAATTAGTGTTAGGCTCTGTGTAGTGTTAGGCCATGGGAAATAACGTCTGTGGATGGCGTCTTTTAACGACTTTAAATATGGGAGTTACGGAGTTGAAATACAAGAAAGCTGAAACGTTTTGTAAACCACTGGGTACGAAAACTATTATAACGTACAAGGCAAAGTACTACAATGATTGTAGGTACTGCATGCAACACATCGCCTGTATGGAGGTAATTTTTCAATATTGGTAAAACTATGAATGCAGTATGTTCCCAGGAGTTTTACTGACAATGTGCCGCATATGCCACATTATGGCATAGTCGCATCGATCTTCTTTCAGATGTTACTCTCAAGATGACATCTAAAAAGATGAGCAGGATGTTCTCCCGGAGGAGTCTGAAGAGAAAAGGCACGACCTCCACGTGGATCGTGTTGAAGGAAGCGGAAAAGTGTTACGTCACCAAAATGGTGTTCATGGCGCTACTGTTTTTCAGCATGGTGACGTCACTCACTGCAGTGTTAGCGACGGGAACGTTAAAATCGTTCGTGTAAGTTTGATTATAACGATACCATATTTCACCCTAAACAAAAAATTTCTTTCATATTGATAAAAACAAATTGAGACTTGAAAAGTAACATTTGCAAATGCATAATGTTTACCTTCGCTTCGTCTGCTCTGTTAATTCTTACTTAAACACATTAACATATATGGTAACTGGAGTCTAGATCCCTCCTACTATAAATTTTCACCATTATGTAACCCAACACCAGTTACCATGGTGATAGACGGTCTGGTTCAGGTCATTGACCAGGTCAGAGGCCACTGCTTGGAGAAGAAAAAGGAACTGAACAAAAACAATGTTTTCGTTCGGTAAACATAAAATGTGATCAAAATATAGTTATAATAATATTTTGTAATAATGTTAAGAGGAGACTATTTAGAGAAGTCGGTTTAGAAATATTTTTCATGACTTTCTGTTGTTTGATTTTATTCCCCAGTGTTATCAAGGCCAAGACGGCGTTAGTGATTCCAGACGACAGATATGTCCAAGTTTATACACCTAAAGTACCAGTACTTAGAGAGGCATTACAGACGAATATGCGAGAACAAGTCAGCACGAATCTAGAACAAGAGGAACGATCTGCTAATTACTCTTCCGGTGCAAATACCACCACATTCCGCCAGAGGGAGCCATGGAATGACTGGACGGTCAACCTGAAATCTTTCAATTATCTACGGTAAGATTTTGATTAGATTTGACAAGACTGCGGCCATCAAGGCTTACAAATTAAACAATGCAATCACAATGTTAATGATAAAGAAGAGCCAACTTAAGGAATGATCACAATCGATATCAGTGATGGTCACTCAGTCTTTACGTATCCCTTAAGGTTGCCAATATTCCTTTATAACTTTCGAATTACGTTTCACCTTTTGCAACTCTTTATATATATTGACAGTCCGTATTATGTCTAGTTCGGTGTGATCGATCACAAAGTGTAGAAAGTACTCTTGAACTGAACTTGCCCATATTCAGCATATTTCATCGCTCATTGCACCTAGGAACTTGGTTGTAAGGCCACAGCACGTAAATTTTATGGATGACATCCTCGGCAGACTCCAAATCTAATGCGAGCGGGCGAAAAAAAACAAGGGGGCCGAAAAAACAAGGTTCCTACATTTTAACATTTTGACTCAATCATTGTACAAATGGTTTTGATTCAGTGGGAACATCACATATACACAGCCACCATCACACATCACTGCATCAAAGTAAGAAACAAAACATTAAATCAAAGCCTTTTCTTGTCTCCTCTCTTCATAGTTATCTGCCATCCACCTTCTGGCATGGCAACAGACATATTTACCCATTTTAGGCATGTTGACCACTGTCAGAAGGCAACAAAATTTCTTGTTTTTCTTCCAAAATCAGGCGAAAATTAATGCGCGCGCTGATGTCATCCATACAAATTACTTGCTGTGGCCTAAGTAACAACTTTAAATTCACTTCATCCCGTTCAGGCTAAGAAGCGCTCCAGCAAACCCTTCCAGAATGCTGAGCATCGAAATGCGCGGGAACAGCAACACTATGGCAGAATGCGGCCGTTACTACAGGGGAGAATGCGTCCTGAAAGACTCCACCGACGTCCAGTATTCAAACAACTGCGCCATCGTGGGCAACAGCGGCATCCTGACCGACAGCCTTTGCGGTAAAGAAATCGACTCGAACGATTACGTCATCAGGCTGAACCTCGCCCCCACTCATGGTTACGAAAAGGATGTCGGGTACAAAACCAACCTAACAGTTCTCAACAAAAGTTTAATGAGGAAAGTTAAGGCTAGCCTAGCCTTAGGTTATGAAAAGGATCTCTACTCCAAACGACTAAGACTGTTGAACGGTACAACTTTCTGTTTTCCGAAGGAAGGGGATAAACTGGCTTTGTTTGGCGACTTCTTTTTGTCAGTGATGGCGAATAACATCATCATAACTATGAAACATTACCCATACAACCTGGAACATCTTACAGCAAGGTAAGGACAATAACGTTAATTGTTTTAAAGTACTTTCTTCACAGTCATAAGCAGTTATTCAATTCCTTTTAACAGTCACTCATCAATCTGATACTTGTCAAATGCTTTAAACATTTCTTCTGTTTTTTTTTCTGTTTATCTATCCAGATGTTTTAAATTAGTTTCTTCACACTCATCTTGAAGTACTTAGTGTCTTTTCACAGTTACTTATCAATTTGATATTTGTGAAATACTTAAAACATTTCTTTTGTTTTTCTGTCCAGATGTTTTAAATCAAATTTCTTTACAGTCATCATGAATTATTCAATGTCTATTCACAGTCACTCATATATCTTTACATTTATGAAATACTTATTATTATTATTTACTTACTGATGTTAGACAATGTGTGTAATATTGGTTTGAATACCCGCAATCCAGCTTTCGTAGAATCAATCTACTCGGGAATATGTAAATGTCAATTACTTCTAATTATTAATCTGATAATTATTACTTGCAATAATTTTCCAGCATCATGAAGAGAATTTTACGACAGGGGCAGTTCGGACAACCAACCACCGGCATGATCGCCGTCGTCATGGCAACAACGTTCTGTTCCAGAATCAATCTGTACGGCTACTACCCGTTCCCGAAAGACCAGGCGAACCGGACCATACCGTACCACTACTTCTATGACGTCAAAAAGGCCAAACCGGACAAGAGGCACAACTTTCTAACAGAGTTCCGTTTCCATCAACTGTTGCACAAGGACAGAGTCTTGCGACTAGTTACGACAAAATGCTCGTAGCTCTTTTATTGTAAAATGGTGTAGAAATGGTTGTAGGTCAATGAATAGACCTTAACTCACATAACTTATGTAAAAGCAGTGATATTTCAAGCAGCCAGCCAGAAAATGTACAACACTGATTCAAACAATCACCTACTGGATTAGTTTTTGCTCTGAAGTATTACTGGCTCAACGACACATTGTTATAAGAATAACTGAAAATTTATTGCCCGAAGGCTACTCGCAAGTACATGTAACATGAAAATATAAAAAAAGGACGGACAATGGATAAAGATATAGCATGTGGCTACTCTAGTCCAAGGACATTATACATAATGTCCTTGTCTAGTCTAAACAGCAACTCTCAATAATAGTTACTAATAGCAAGGACTTCTGTATAATGTCCTTGCTAATAGCAACTTGCAACACACCAGGCATAAATTGAATAGAATTATGAAGCGAATCAGGATTTGATGTCCAATACTGAATAAGAAGTATGCAAAATAATCGCTGGCTTTCGTTGAGTTCGAACTAAAACTACATGTGTCAAATTTATATGTGGAGTAACCTCAGGTTATTTGCTATATCACTCCTCAGAGGTCTTTAATCATGTCATTAAAGAAGTCGAGGACGGGGTTGTCGCCTCTCCTAACCGGCTTCCCGCCTTTTCTGCTCGCCTCTGGCGGTCCTCGTGTTTTCCACTGAGGGGCTGGGGGTTCGTCTGATCCACCGAACCCCAGGAAGTCCCAGAATGAGGGCTCTTCTTGAACCTTTTTCCCTAAAACCAAAGAAAACATTAGATACATACACAACACTGTTCGGTACCTAGTCAAAACATAGCCTGGTATCCAGCCTTGTTAGCTTTAGTCCGCTACCCAAGATCCGCTCCCCGCCGCCCCACCGCTACCCAAGATCCGCTCCCCGCCGTTTTTTTTCAGTAGACAAAAGAACAAAATCGAGGCTACACTGTAAATATTGGTTCAGATATTTTTGGTATAATAATGGTATTAACCAATAGAGCAACTGACAGTTTGTATGCCAATGGTCTATTTCGGTCGGATATTAACCTTTAGCCATGTTTTCACTCGTCTGACTCATCTTGGCAGGGTCTTTTTTCATCCATTTACTGAGAACTGCTCGGGCCTTGTCTTCATCTGCTTTTTTCTTCTCATCCTCGGGAGAAGACAGCATGCTGGACAGTGAGGAAGCGCCTTTGACATTTTCCCCTAAGTTCAATGATTAAAGAATTTGTAGTAATTAGTCGTTCGTTTGATTGGAAACGATGCAAGCACAATATACAAGCACAATATGTCAAACGGCATCAATGGGTTGCCACCCTCCCGAGCAGGGTTACTGGCTCGGCCCGAAAGGTCCTCCTCAACTTCGGGCCGAGCCACTAACCCTGCTCGGGAGGGTGTGGGTTGCCTACATTTGTTCTAACGTATATATGATTCGTAGCGTCTGCATGCCATCATGTACAGACAATATGTCACCAGTAGTATCACATAATGCATCTTACTAGTATACAGCGACTGCCAGGACTTCCTACGATTTGTTTACGTCTGCCGGATACCAACCTTTTTCTTTTTCACTCATCTGACTCATCATGGCAGGATCGCTGCCGCCTTTGCTTCCCAGCAATCCCCAAAGTGAGGACCCGCCTTCCCCGTCTTCTCCTGAGACCAATGATCAAGAAATTAGATGTAATTAGTCGTTCATATGATTGGAAAACGATTTGACGTTTATGGCTTTGTTGACGAATAATATGTAAAAATATCCACTAATAACTTGCCTATTTTGTGTATGATTCTACTGAGCATGTGTATCCCAGCCTCTATTGTCAACAAAGCCGGTCGTGATATTGTATACACGACGAGTGTAGCAACTGTTGGTCATCTACAGACCAGTAGACTGTCTTACTAACCTTTCTTTTCACTCAACTGACTCATCGCGACAGGATCGTTGTTCTCACTAGTTTTGCCTCCCAGCAAGCCCCAAAGTGAAGATCCACCTTCGCTATTTTCTCCTGAGACCAAATATCAAGGAACTACATGTAATGGTCATGAAAAACACACACAGATATTTCAAACGATGCCCATCAATAACCTGCTTAACATTAATTTTATTCATATATTCATATATAATTTTATATATTGTTAATAATATATATATATTATATGACTTGTTTACATGTAGCTCTGCCAGATACAAACCTTTCGTTTCGCTCAACTGACTTATCATGGCAGGATCACTGTCACTTTTACTTCCCAGCAAGCCCCAGAGTGAAGATCTGCCTTCGCTATTTTCTCCTAAGATCGACGATAAAATGAAGAACATGATTGGGTAGATATCCTACTGTGCTTACATTTATAGCAATGCAGTACAGTATCTGCTCAAGACTAAAACAAAGGCGAACAGACGGCACGAATGGAATGCCTCGCCACGAAGTGTCCAACCTTTCGTTTCGCTGATCTGACTCATCATTGCAGGATCGTTGTTCTCACTTTTGCCTCCCAGCAAGCCCCAGAGTGAAGACCGGCCTTCGCCGTCTTCTCCTTAGATTAACATAAGAATTTTATTGACACAACAAAAAGTACAGCGACTTTCGTAAGATCTAAGACATGTAGATATACAGACAAATATACAAGTACGTGTTCATTCATAGACCAGTACGGTATCTACTCAAGCAAAAAAAAGAAAAAAAAACAAAACAAAACAACAAAACAAGTGCGAACAGACGGCACGAATGAAAAGTCTCGCCACGAAGCCTGTCCGGACACCAACCTTTTTCTTTTTCGCTGATCTGACTCATCAAGGCAGGATCGCTGTCACCTTTGCTTCCCAGAAAACCCCAGAGCGAGGGACCACCTTCGCCGTCTTCTCCTGAGATCAATGATGAAGAATTGAATATGCATTGTGAATATGATGAAAGTTGCTGCATTTTGTATTTCATCTGTCCTTTACATCATTTTGGACTCTGTCTCGTGCTCATGTTGCCAATGTCCTTTATAGTAACGATGAAGGTTATACAACTTGAAGCCAAGCATCAAAGTAAATCAGTCTGAACGTTAAACGTGAATGGAAAATCAGTATTGATAGTTTAAGTTTCATCCATAACCTGACTAACCTGGCTGTTTGATGGTATCAGCTGCAGATTTTCCTCCATCTTCACTGTCTGCAAAACTCACCATCTTAAACAGACTTGGCTTTTCTTTCTGGTTACCCCCACCTAAGGACCGTAGCATGCTGTTCAAACCACTGGATACTCCTACAGGAATTCAAAATCAGGTTTCAAATCATAATTGTACCAAATGGCAAAATAATATTGCTGTTGTATATTTCCCTATTAAGAAAAAACGAGACTGTCTTCGTCTGTTTGAAGCTTGTTCCTTGTATGATTTCTCGGTCACAACACAAAGCAGTACGTGGGAACATACTTGAATCTTCCGTAGCAGTGTCTTTGGGTCGTCCCGTGTCCTCGCCCTCTGGTCTACCACCAGATACGGCCTTGTCTGCCGGGCTCTTATCCTCTTGCTGATCTCCACCCACGACACTCAGAAAGGATCCCAAGAAACTGTCGAAGACTCCTGTGAATATCAATCATAGCACGTCAGCTATCATCACTATGAAAATTCAGTAATCATGAAAAAAATGGATGGTTACGTTCAGTGATGTCTACAATATTTGTCGGGCATCTCATAAGGGATGTCAACGCTTCACATATTCAGCTATAAAGCTACATGTACCTGGCGTCGTGTTGTCTGGAGGTTTGACTACATCCTCGCCTGTTTTGGAGGACGTCTTGGCTAACACGTCCTGCAGCTTTGTCTTGGCCGAGTCGGATTCATCTCCATGGTCAACGGGTCTAGTAAGGGCCATCATTGAAGGCCATCCCTTTAATGTACCTAGATAAAAGAGGAGTATATTTGATGTGATGTTATACTAGGATTTCATAATGTCTTTCACCAGGAATGGCAATAGAAAATCCTTTAACCGAAGAGCTAATGCAGTTTTAGGGACACATAGTTGACTACACATTGCCTAGAATGCTCGACTTGCTTTGCCTTTGCCTTTGGAAAACATATTTTGCAATTGACATTAAATATCATTTTCAAAATGACAGTTGAGTACCTTTTCGGCCTAATCCTGATTTTTGGTCCATGTTTGGTCCCCTCAATGGATTCCGTTTTTCTTCCACCAATTTCTCTTCCCTGACGCGCCCTGGTTTACGATCAAGGGACGTCACTGAGCTTCTGATCCTTTGTTTGCTTCGGCCTCTCGGAAGTGTTCCTTTAAAGATCAAAGTTATCAGATTTTGCCATAGGTACTGGATGTTGTTTATGAGTAATTAGTGATGGAACTGTACACTTTAGGCTCCGACCTAGCTTATTATGTCAGGGATCCCGGGAGATTTGATTTGTGATCATATGCGGCACGTACCTGCTTCATCCTTGGATGTTCGTCTGTCTAGACTGGCTGTATCTCTTGTAGGTGGGCTGTAGTGTCTCCTTGGACTTCTAGACGGGCTGCCGGTGGTTCTCCCTGGACTTTTCGATGGACTGTGGTGTCTCTGTGGACTTCTAGATGGACTATGGTGTCTTCCTGGACGTTTAGACGGACTTTGGTTTCTCTGTGGACTTCTAGATGGACTATGGTGTCTTCCAGCACGTTTAGACGGACTTTGGTGTCTCTGTGGACTTCTAGAAGGGCTATGGTGTCTCCTAGGACTTTTAGAGGGGCTGTGTCTCCTAGGGCTTCCGGAGGGGCTGTGGCGTCTCCTTGGACTTCTAGAAGGGCTGTGGTGTCTCCTTGGACGTCTAGAGGGACTGCCCGCGGGTCTCCTCGGACTTCTAGAAGGTCTTGAGTCTGCTTTCTGGCCTCTATCGTCCTCAAAGAAGTGCGCTACTACCTCAGCAGTAGTGATGACTTCGCTCCTGGGTGGTTTCTCCAAATCGGTGCCATGAGAGTCATGTTTGTGATGCCTAGACCGTCTCCTCGGTCTTCTCAAACTACGGGTCTGTACCGAGGGGTCTTTTCTGTTTGCAGCGTGA